CTTGCACAGTGTCAAGGCTTTGTCACTCTCATCCCTGCACCCCACAAGTAAGTAAGCTGGGGGTGGGAAAGAGGTTGGAAGGGGACACAGCTGGGACAGCTGACCACAACTGACCAAAGGGATATTCCATACCATATGACTATACTATTTATCAGGCTCAGCAATAAAAGCTGAGGCAAAGACGGAGGAATGGGGGACATTCATGATTATGGCATTCATCTTCCCAAGCAACCACTGTGTGTACTGAGGCTCTGCTTCCCAGGACGTGGCTGGACATCTGCCTGCTGATGGGAAGTAGTGACTGAATTCCTCTTTTTGCTTTGCTTCCATGTACAGCTTTTACTTTTCTTATTAAACTGTTACTATCTTGACCAAGGGGGGCGGGTTTCATCTTTTTTTGATCATCCTGTTGAGGTGAGGGGAGTGAGAGAGCAGCTGGGTGGCTGTCTGGCAGCTGGCCATGGCCAACCCACCACACTGTCCTTTTGTTCAGGTGGCCTGTGTCCCTCCTGAACCCCCGTGTGCAGACAGTGGTGATTGTTAGGGACACTTAGGAGGCTGGTGAGCAATTTAGAGGGGGTGTGTGAGGAACTGCCTGCAGCTGGGGAATAGGAAGGAGTACCAGGGTCAGACTGACCTTGTTTCTGTATGCCTGGGAACATAAGTGTCATTGCCCCTAAACATACCACTGCAGTACCCCAGTACAGCAGGTGTCTCTGTGCTGGCCAGGCTGGACCTTGTGAATTGCCAGGGGCTCCCTATCTCTGCACAGCGAGGCGAGGGGGCTCGTGCTGAAAGGTGGGCTTGTAGGTGTTGCTCATGGCAGCGTTCCTCCTCACCCAGGAGACCTGGTGCACGTGGAGACTGTCTGGTAATCTACAAAGCAGCCTCCTCTGTCTACGTCAGTTGGGCCAAGAGCACTGGCCACATGGGTCCCTTTGCCATCTGTTCCATCCCTGGGGACACCAACTCCACACTCTGCCCAGGCTTATCTCTGCAACTGGTTCCTCTCCAGCTCAGAGTGAACATCTCAGAGCAACCAGGTCTCCTGCAACCACCAAGGGGCAGAGGGGAATGTCCTTGGTCAGTCCCCACCGTGTATCCTCTACCTCTTGTGTACTGATGGCAGAGAGACTCTTCTGCTCCAGAAGACAGTCCTGGCAGTTGTCACCAAAATCAGAGCCTTTCTGGACTACACGTGGTTGAACTACCCTCACTCCCTTTTTCAACCTCTAAATGGAGTCTGCCCTTACCCTCAGAAGACGTTGAAGAACACCAGCAGGACTGCTAGCTCCATGAGCCAACTCCACACCCCGCAGAAGCAGCAGGCACAGGCATGGTCACAGCATGGTTTATGTCCCCAGACACAAATCCCTTCTGCAGCATGAGACAGACCCTGGCACACATGCACCTGACACACCCCAGCCCATCTCCTACAAGGGTTACATGTTTTTCTCCCCACCTTTCTACTCACAACTCACTCCAGCTGTGGTCCCACCATGTCACAAGACCTTGGAATCCTCCTCTTGGCCCTGGTCAGGCTGACCGCCTGCAGCCCCAGGAGAAGGAGGATGAAGAGGGGGACCACAGTGACTATTTCTCTCCCTGCACTTTGGACGCTTGCAGGGAGAGGGGGGCTGGAATGGTGGGGGTCTGCTCTGTGTCCCCTCCTGGCTCCCTGTTCTTGCTCTTTTAACCCTCCGACCTTCATCATTTTTCTCCCAGGAACTGTCCCCATTTCTGCTGTTTTCCTTTATGCCTCCCCATCCCGAGAGCTCTATGGTTTAGTTAGGATCAGCTGACACCCAACCTAAGGGGTAGGGTTTTCCCCAGCAGCCCTTGGCCCATGGCCACATGATTAAAAGCAGTGGGAGAGCAGCATCAGGAACCAAATCTGGCATTAATGAGAGCGAGAGGTTGTTGCGTGACCGGCTGAGCAGCAGGAGCCTGGCCAAACGGCAGCAGAACAAATGGCACCGTGTGTAGCAAAGCTCCTTGTTAGCATAACACGCATCTCTGTTACACCAGGGCACTCGGTCTCCCAGCTTTGCCCTTTCCTAATCAGCCCTCCAGCACAAGGGAACGTAAAAGACTGGAGGCTGTTTGGTACTTGCAGGAAAAGAAAAACAAAAAACAAACTAAAAAACCCCCAACTTCTGTTTCTGCTTTAGTTGTATCTTGTCCATCTCTGGAGCTGATGATGTCCAGATGGAGCTGGTCAAGCTAAGTGACCTGGGACTGGTGTAGAAAAGGGCTATCTTGCTTCTCCCATCGGCTGGCGAGGCGTCCATGGGCAGGGAGGACCAGGCAGGACACGGAGAGTTGTTAGGTGCAGGCTTGGCTATCGAACAGCTCACTGCACGAAATCTGAGCCTTGCTTGGACTTTTCAGGACTCAGTTGCTTTGGGACCTGCCTTTGCTGTCCTTCAGATCACAAAACCCTTCTTCTTTCTTCATGCAGGTGCTTGGTGAGGCTGATTGCAGGCTGTTGGCTGCAAAACTCTCTTGGCTGGCCACTCTCCTGCAAAGTCGGTATTAAGAAACTCCTTCTCAAAGTAGCTCCCTTCTATATTGTACAGTGTGGTGGTTTGACCCACAGTGGGACCATGTGGTCCTGCACTCACTCCCCTCACCTGGTGAGATGGGAAGGGAATCACAACAAAGGGGCACGGATTAGGATCAGGACAGGGAGGGCTCACTCACCAGTTATGGTCACGGGCAAAACAGACTCAACTTGGGGAAGAAAAATCTATTTAATTTGTTACCATTCATCTGAGCAGCACAGTGAGACATAACAACCACATCTTACAACACCTTCCCCCACCCCTCCCTTCTTCCTGGACTCAATCACTTTGCTCCTGATGTCTCTACCTTCCCTGCCCCAGCAGCACAGTGGAGAGGGAATGGGGGTTCAGTCAGTTCACCTCTGCTGCTCTTCTCAGCATGAAAGTCCAGGAACAAGATGTTCCAAAGCAAGCTTCCCATGGAGTCACAGATCTCTTTGGGCTCAGCTCCCAGCTCTGGCATGGGGACATCCATGGGCTGCAGATGGGTCTCTGGTCCAGTGCACCTCCTCACCCCCTGGCTCTGGGGGCCCACCCCTGCTTTGGTGTTGAGCATCTCTCAGGGTCTCAATTCTGTCACACTTGCCCTTGGGCTCGGCTTTTCTGCTCCAGCGTGGAGTCCTCCATGGCCTCCACATGGGTCTCTACTCCACTGTTGAACCTCCCTGGGCTGCAGGGACTTCCTTTGCCTTCTCCTATTCCCCCCCCCCGCCCAGTGAGAGGGGAAGGGAAACAAAACAGAGGGGCACAGATTTCCCTCCTGACAACAAAGCCTCTCTTTGTTTAGGCCAATGGTCATCTTTTGTTCAGGTCAATGGTCTCTCCTCCAGGTACTCTCCACCTTCTTCTTTTCAGGACAGTCCTTCCCCTCACAAACATGGATTTGCAGAGGCATTTCTCTATTGCTTATTGGCTCAGCCTGGGCTGAGGGGATACACCTTGGAGCCAGGGCAGCTTTCCTGAAGCTTCCCCTTCCTCCATTACCAAAACAAACCGTGTCTTAACTTTCTCCTCCTTGTTTCCTAGATGTTCTTCTTCTTCACCACTCTAAGCAGTTCCTTGCTTTTTGTCATATGCTCACTTCTTCCGTGCCTCAGATTGGCTTATCACAAGGGCATGTGGTTCTTAATATTGCAGATAACAACTGTGGTAAACTCAGTTCTGGTCTAAAATAGGGGAGGGGAGCAGAGGGAATACAGGTCTGGGTCCTGTCTTTTACAGCAATGATTTAAAACAGGGTGTGCCCCCCACCCTGCTCTGATTTTCGTTGAACTTCATCTTATCTTGGTTTTTTTTTTTCAGGATGGCCTGGTGGGAGGAAAATCATTACACATCTACCTGCCTTCCTTCAGAGGAAAGTGATTTTGAGGAAGAGTTTAAGGAGGATGAAGCTGGGCTGAATGTGGATTTAGATTACAAAGATGCAGACCTGAACTGTATCAAGTACGTCATGGGAGATGTCACGCACCCCAAAGCAGAAGAGGAGGATGCCATCATTGTCCACTGCCTAGGTAGAACTTACAACAACAGGAATGTTGATGGGTGAGGTAGGAAAGAGGACTGAATTGTCCCTATTAGCTCAGTAGTTTCTAATTCCCATCCAGACTGAAATAATTTGGATTTCACATCTAGTTTAATTCATAGAGTCTGGCCTGAGCAAGAACCCCACATCTGAATGCACAGTGAGCTTTTGGGATAAGCTTTCTGAAATGTCACAGTTGACCCCTATGTAGTGGTCAACTGTGGAAATAATTTGGATTTCAGTCTGACTCAAATGGTGCAGAGATGATACAGATTCTACTCCACCATGTGTAACTGACACGACTACTAGCAAGTTGTACATGGGTATTTTCATACCCTCTCTGGTTTTATGGGTGAGCCTCTTGAAAGGTGCCTCTATGGCTTGGAATGGTATGTCTGTGGCCAAGTGGAGACAGTACCTCCTGAGATGAGGGCCTCTTGTTCATCCTGTGTAAACTGTAGGGATTGAATTGAGATATTGGAAATCATCTCCCTTATACAGTCTGCAGAAAGAGACAGGCATTTCCAGAGGCTGAGGTCAGAGCTGCTCTCTCTTGGTGCTAATCTCTCAACGCTGACAGTACAGAGGCTCTAGGTTAGTCTCCTAATTTAAGGACCTCTGTTAAGACACTAAAGCTGAGGGAGAGAAATTTAGATTACAGAGTTCCTCCTGAATCAGTGTTGGAGCTGCTTTCTGCAATCATTCATTGCATTTGTACAGAGGAGGTCCCTTTCCTGCAGGGGTGGTCTTCAACTTCACTTTCTAAAAGGAGTTTAACTTGTCATTTGATTCTAGATGACTCCGGCCGCTGGGGAAGGGGTGGTTTATTTACAGCTCTGGAGGCTCGTTCTGATCAGCCAAGAAAAATATATGAGATGGCAGGAAAGATGAAAGGTAAGAAATTAAAACATGACCTTAGGCCAAGATACTTGAAAGAGCTTAAATCCAACTGATGTTACAGGAGTGAGGTGCCTGGATACCTTGATACTCATGTTTTTCCCTCTTTCTCTAGATATGTGCATCCCTAGCTCTGGAAGTAGTAATACAGCAGCTGTTTTGACTTGTTAAGAGTGTGAGAACCTGCATGAGGGTTGGTCATTCCTGTCTATACTGCAAGTCATTTAAAAAAAAAAAGGAAAAAACCCAAACTTGTTCATTATTCACAGGATGTTTTTCACTATATAAGACAGAGCCCTGCATATTCTGTCACAGTGCTTTTAAGAAGGAGGAAAGCCACCTCAGGCAGTACTCAGTTGAGCCTTTGGTTCCCTTCAAGCACTAATTTTCTGAGCCTGTACTAGCAGTTTTGAGCTACCTGCAGCTGATGAGGAATGCACATCTTGCTATCTATTGGCTTTTTTCATTTCCTGGGAGATGCTTTCTTCTTGTTCCAGTGTCTTTCTTTCTATTTGTGGTCTTTAACTGGGATATGTGCGTGTGTGTCTGCATGTCTTGGTGGGGGGTAACGTCTGTCTTGCTTCCCTGGGCAAAGGGACTGAATGCTGAAACCATCATGAGGAGATAAAAAAAGACAAGGAGAATAATAGAGAACATGACAGTGAAATCACTGCTGTATTGACTCACCATTGACTTTTCAGGACTGATTTTTTTCTTATTGTTCTGTTCTTGTTTTCTGGACAGACCTGGAGTTAGGAGGAACCTTGTTATTCCCCATTGATGATAAAAAATCCAGGAAAAAAGGACAAGACTTGGTGAGAACGAGAAGCTCCTTTCTGTGTTGCTCTGTACACATGTTTTTGAAGCTGTGTGAAATGAACATACGTCTTTTCCCCAGTAATAATAGCACTGAATAGCAAACATGGCTAAGTTGCAGTTAGAGATTACATTAGAGAAAAGGCCATCTTTTTCTCATTTATTAAAGCTAATAGTTAGTAATGCAGTTTTCCAGCAGATATCACTATGTCTTTTAGCACTGTATGTAGACTCAATTTAATTTCTTTGTGTTTTCTCCTTAGTTGGCCTTGATTGTAGCTCAGCACCGGGATCGGTCCAACAACTTGTCTGGCATTAAGCTGTCTGCTTTGGAAAAGGGCCTGAAGAAGATTTATCTAGCAGCCAAAAAAAGGAATGGTAAGTGTGCAGTAGAACAGTGAATCTTTACATGTGTGATTGCACCTGAAGATGATGACCAATTTCCACCTCTCCTGTACTGTTTTTTTGAAGTGAAGTAAGAGTGAGATCTCCATGACGTGATCTCCATGTGTTCCAAAATATTTCTTCTGTTCTTGTTGGGTAGCTTGAAATCCTTATCTAGATTGCTTTCTATATGTGTATCTTGTCCTAAAGAGTGTGCACTCTCTGCTCCCTCCTCAGCAACAGTGCATCTTCCACGTATTGGGTATGCAACAAAAGGTTTCAACTGGTATGGTACTGAGCGGCTCATCCAAAAATATTTGGCAACACGGGGCGTCCCCACTCTTGTGTATCCTTTTGGAGTATCTCATATTTTGTTCACCATGTAGTATTGAAATGATTCCCTAAATATCTTGGTAGATGCAAGGCAAGGCACAGATGCCACAGTCCAGCTAAAAACTTGGTTTCTCCACCTTTGCTGTCATCCAGGTATTCATTCCAAAGTGAGGACTTACCATTTTAGATGGTAATGACAGATTAGTATGATTCAGTATGCCTGTCAGAATTTGTTAGCACTAGGTGCTAGTCTTCAGTTGACAACCATCAACTTACCTGTATATGCCACATCTGTGGGGGAGATGGCTGGAATTTCAGAACAACGGAAGTGACTCAGAAAGTAGCAAAAGTGAGAATGTGAAAAAAACATTACAATGTTCCAAGCAAGTGATAACCTGCTTCCCTGGCTGAACATGGTGGAGTTGGTGTGTGTTAGGACAGGCTTTTGTAACAAAACAGCTCATTACTTTCACCTTCCAAGAAAGGAAACAGAGGTTTACAAGGAGGCTGTGTTTTGTCACTTTGCTAGGAAGACATGGCTTTGCTGTACCACCGCTGTCAGAAATTCTGTGAAACTAAAACCTGAAACAAAGACAATAGTATGCAGAACATTTTGCCTCCTTCCTTGGTGAATCTCTTAGTGGACATGTCTGGCATTCCTTGACACTTTACAGCATTTCCTTGACACTTCTTATTAGATACTACTTCCCTAGGAATAAAGGCTCTTCCCCTGCTTCACAACCATATTCATCTTCAGTGACAGTCTCAAAGCCGTGAAGAAACATGCGCAAATAGCCAAGGATCTTTTCAACATCACACAGTCTGTGTGCATCCACTTCAGAAACACGGCTTACACAGCTGTTATTTGCCCCTGCATCTCTCTGCCTTTATTGACCAGAATGTAACATATTGGCAGTGGCTCTGGAGAGGAATGAGACTGCTTCAGAGTCCAAAGAGTCTTTGGATAAGGACATTGGCTCAATCCCCAATCTGTTTTGGGAATGGAAAAATTAAACTTTTACTGGTGGTCAGTTGTTATCCCTTACATTAAGTTATTGCTAGGGCTTGGAACACGGTGTTGTTTGGACATATTTTTGCCTCCTTCAAATTTCATCCTTTGTATCACTATACCTCTTTTTAGTCAGCTTTTTAGTGGTTACCTCAGACTCTGTGTATGTGCCCACATCAGCACCTCAGTGGAAAAGAAGCTGTATGCGTTAACAACATCACATGACAACCACATAGTATAAACTGTTTATACTGTTCTAGTTTCCCAGAAATCTAGTTGATTTGCATTTGTTCAAATATAAAATTTAGCCACATAATCACATGCTTACAATCGAGCAACATCCCAACCAGCATTCTGGGCAAAGGCTTGCAAGACTGCCAAAATTTGAGACTGGCTGTATAAATGACACCTTTCCTTCTGCCACAGCTGCTTTTTCATTACAGTTCTTTGTTGCAGCTGTTAGGCACAAGCAGTTCCTTACTGCTGTACAGAAAGCTGCGTGAAAGGTCCATAACCCTTTGATTTACTTTAAGGAAATCTTAATGCAGAGTTTCTGATGTTGGCTTTACTCTATTGCAACAGAACTTTTCTGGGTTTTTTGCATTGTTGGCACTGTTGGCTTTAGCATATTTTTTAGGGATTTTTTTAGTACAGTGAGGCAATAGTAGCTCTCCTAATAAGTGTTTTGACCAGAGAGACTGTGAGGTGCCAAACTGAATTCAATTTAAAGTTTAGCTTCCGATAGGAAATCACCCCACAAGCAGTGCAAAGTTTGTCTTTAAATATCTAACTGCCAGCACACATCTCACTGGCTGCATTTACACTGCCTCTGTAGCACCATCTGGTTACCTAATAATTTCAGGATTCTGACATGGCTTACCACACTGACTGGTGTGCTCCAAAACTTGAAGAAGCCTTCCTGAGTTGGATACTGTCATTCACTCTAAGCTCTACCAGAAAACCCCTAAGTGATTCATTCTCTCCTTTGACCCTGCTGAAGCTTCGGTAAGCTAGTGCTGTGTAACACCTCTGTGAGTGAGACCTTTCTTGCAGCTGCTCACAGGAACGGCCCCTGTGTGTTTGGCAAAGGGCTTGCAGGATCAGAGTCAGACTGTGAAGACTTTCTGGGGTGAAAGGTGGTCAGTAGATGGATGTACATTACCTTGTTTGCTCCCAGCCATGCGAACTGGCACTCTTCCAGCAGGCCGGCTGGTGGCACTGTTAATCAGCTGCAGCAGCACATGTTGCTCTTCAGCCTCCTTTCAAAGAGCAGGGCAGTGATCTTCAGCCTGGAAAAACGGTCCCTCTTTGCCAGAATTAAAACATCAATTATGCTTTTCTCTTTACCACTTTGACTGAACATGTAATTTCAGTCTGCATGCTCAAGGCTCTGATCCTCTACCTATTATTTTCCTGTATATTTTTGCCCTTCTTTCAAAGGTTTCATTCCCAAGCGTTGCAGTGTGTGCAGTCTTGGTCCTCAGCTTCACACACACCTATGGCCAAATCCCAGACCACCTACAGGTTCTCTGGCCACCACGCAGTTACACACGGACAGGATTTGTCTTGTGGCCAAGTCTCCCAGTTGAAGCACTGTGTCTACCACAACTATGGCCAGGTATTCCTGTTTGAGGCCTCATGCTTTCCTTTGTTTCTCCAAGAAGGTGGGGCTCTGCCTTTGTCCTGTGCCCCCCACCCTGATATAACTCTGACTAGAGATAAAGGAGAGGAGGGCATAACTACCTGCTTCTTAATGCCCCTTACCCTCTAAGATAAGGTCCACAGGGGTCTGCAAGGTTCTTGGCACAAAGAGAGGAAAGTCATGGTACACAATAGATTCTAGCCATTTAACTTAGGGGCAGGTCTGGCAAAAGATGTTCTCTTTTCCCCTTCTACAGATGAAATTGACCTTACTTTTTTCCCTTTAAATTTAGTTAGGAAATGCTTCTGGAGTGTGAAGTTTTTGTTGTTTTTTTAAATTATTTTTAAACAATATTATTTAATGTTCTTTAAATCTAATGAACCCAAAGAAAAGTTCTACCTCTATCTGCTTTGACATGGAAGTAAGATTTCAGCTGAATCCTGAACTGGGTTTTGCAGAATCTCAGCCAAGTGAAGTTTTTCTAATGTTTGCTTCCCACCACCATTTCTCTTATTTGGGCAGAAATCGTGTATTTTGGATAATTAATTCCATAAAGGGCTCAGTAGCTTCTATGCAAGTTGCTATGCAAAATAAATGTGTCATGCTGTTTCTTCAGCTGTACAGTACTACGTATTTTCCCTTTCTAAATAGCAACCACCCCAAAAGGGAAGGAAGGTGTTTTTTTGTAGTCATGTCCCTCTGGCCTCTCTTTCCTCTCAACGAGATTTTCTGCAGCATAAGAGCTGAAGTGTGGTTCCTTGTGCATATCTGTCATTGCACATTTACTTAAACTTTAGATGTATGCTGCCAGATTGAGGGCAGTGGCACAGAGCAAGATCATGCACAGTTCAGACTGGCTATACACGCAGTTTCATCACATGGGACCTATAAAGTGGCATCTAGTCCCAGTGAAAAACTTTCCTCTCCACCCCATGCTGAAATCTCCAGCTGATGCCATATAAGAGTGGGGAGTAATTCAGAATTGTGTTTATACTTGTGCTGGCTCAGCTTATGCTTATGTTTCCTACTTGATGCAGCACTGACTCTGATTCTCAAAGTGTTGAGCAGACAAATTCTGTCTTTGGTGAGGAATCTTTATGGCCTGTAACTTAAGTATGATCTTTTTATCCTACTCAGAAAACAGTAAATAAAAAATGGAGAAACCAATCAGATTTTATGGACATGTGCAGATTTGTGATTTTGTCACTGACAAAAATTATCTGGGTGTGTCACTGTGTGTTGGGGAAGGTGGAGTCTGGATTTTGGGGAAGGAAAGAGGAAGACTGGTTTCCAAGGTGATGGAGAAAATCTACAGCAAATTCAACCTCTGTATCTTAACAAAAATACTGTATGTATGTATGTATGTGTCTCCAAACAAGGCAGAATGTGGCCCACAAAAATGATCAGTATAAAAATATAAGGACAATTAGGTGGATTTATATAAAAATAACTGAGTCTAATGGTCCTGGAGGAAAAAAAAGAAAGCAAACCTTTGAGCAAAGAGATTACTTAAAAGTGTAACCTATGTGTCAAGCTGTGTGTAAACCCACCCCTTTACAAGAGCTAGAAGAGAGAGCGTAGATCTTTATTTAGCTAATTTGACTGGGTAGCAGGTTGGTCATGCACTGTGATCTGCGAATCAAAATGTAAGCTAGAATGATTCAAGACATTATCCCTTCTTATAACAAATCCCTTAATGTCTGCACTCCAGAAAGTGCCTCTTCTGGTAGATCCAAGATTCCTTGTGTTACACACAACTGTGACCAAAAATGCATCTCTCTGTGTTTTTCTGTCCAACTCATGCTTTTCAGAGTGAAAAACCCAAGCCTGAGGAACGCAGTAGTAGGATTAGTAGAATTACAGATGGGTATTTCCTCTAGAAAAACAGATCTCTCTATCATTTTGAATTCCCTGAATAAATGAGTTGGTGTGTGTTTTCCATGCTGGATTGTACCATCCACCTATCTTGGCCTTGGTGAGATAGTATTGCATTTGTGGGAAGACATCTAGAACCTTCTGAAAATATGATGAGAACAAAAATTGTCTGGATCCTCATATTTCAACCATGAAGAGAATGTTCCTGGTTGCACTTTCTAGCATTGTCCTGAGTATTTCTTCAAGTTAAGGATAGAAACAAACCCTTCAAGGAGCTACATGAAATGGGAATATTAGTCATGTTTTTGATGAAAAAAAACCAAGCCAAAAGAGAGTTAAGGGAAGCCAGAAATTGCTTCTGGTATGAGCTGAAAAAGTCTCAGTTTTTTCTGGCTTCAGCAGAAAAGAATGATTTTATTAACTTATTTGTTGAAGCAAGTGCTAGGTGTCTACTAGCCTTCCTCTGCTACTTCCAGTGAACTTGAGGTTGTAGCATCTGCATTCACAGGGTAAGGTTGGGGGTTTTTTTAATAGAAGAGAGACAAATGAGGAGCAAATCAAAGGTATTTATTATCTCATGCAAGTCCACTGCAGAAGGGGATGAAGAATCTGAGATTATATCCTTTTTCTGTGTGCCACATCATGAAACAGGCCAAGTTTGGGCCTAGCTTCTTATGAGCAGGTACACCATGAAAACGAGGTAATGTAGCTACCACATCAGAGTGATATGGAAACGTTTCTTCTAATTCTTGGTTGACACTTCCATTGTAAAGTCATTCCATGTTGTACAGCTGTTGAGTAGGGGGCAAGCACCACAAATAAAACCCTGGCATTATTTTGGGAAAAGGGAATGAAGGGAAATGGGAAAGGGAAAATAAAAGATGCAATCTACAGAAGCCACAATAATGCAACGTAGAAACTATCTTATAGGAACAACTTCAGTACCTTCTGCATTTGTGTGGGACTGGAATCTAGGAGGTCTAGATTTTCTTCATGCATTCCCAGCTGCTGGTTCCTTGTACAGCCTGAAAATGTAACTGTTTTTAAAGGGCAGGACAACCCAAAGGTGAAATGAAAAAGGAGGAACATTTGAACACAGAAAAGGTGTTTTTTGTAGGGAATTTGGTGCCCAAGGCAGGCTTAGGGCAGCCTGTTAAAAGACTTGAGGCAAACCAAGCCTTTCTCCCTGGGGGGCAGGAGGTCCCTCCTCTTTGCAGACCTCTTTGTGACCAGGGGCAAGGTGTGCTGCAGCTGCAGGCTATGGGTGGAGGAACGGACCAAGCCGTCCTGAAGGCTAAGCATTACAGTGCCTAGCCTCTTTCTGCTGGAGGAGAATGTGGTGGTGTCAGGACAGGTGGGGGAGAGCTGTATTGGTGGAGGAGCTCAGCCCTGGAGGGGCTGAGGGGCTCAGGAGCTGGGCGCCCAGCAGTAGGAAGGGTGGCGATGGGTAGGTCTTGGAAAGAGGAGCAGCAGCATGA